TATTTATAGCAATTCACAGGACTCTTTCTCTGAGTTCTACATTCAGGAAATTTTGTAATAAATTCTATCCAGTGTTCCATATTTGCATCTACACAAGCTTACTGAAAAGCTTGTGCTTATGAGTTACAAATAGGAAAGAGGAAGGAAAGAGACTTGGTATTTTATCCTCAAAACCAGCATTTTTTTTTTTTAAACACGAGACTATTTATTAAGTTTTTCATTTGCTTGACCTGTTTGAAACACTAATAACAGGCCCAAGTTCAACATTTCACTAAGTTTTTTTTCATTTATTTTTTTAAAACCGATAATATAAATCTATATTATAATTAGTTCACTCAAAAACTTAAATAAATTTTTGTACTTTAAGCTCAGCTGGATGTGTTTCCATATTTCTCTGGTTGCATGGTGTTATACAATTATTTTCTTACTAAATATTGGACAGTTTTCACATACTGTGTATTGATTCAGAACTGGCATTTCCATTTCAAAGCAAACACTCGATCATGTGAAATAAATCCAGATTATGAATTTGACTACTTTGTTTAATGTCACTCATGACTGAGGATAGTTTCAAACATTACTTGGAAAAGGATAACTGAGTATGGCTATTATTTGCTTTAAACTGTGTTCTGACAACACTTGCACTTGTCTTAAGGGAGTAAACAGAATTTCAGTAAGCGCGCTGAGAGTCCATAGAACAGGCAGATTTCCAATCATTAGAGTGTTTGGAGTTTAGTTTTTATCACATTACTATAAATTTTTTAAAAATAGATGTTTTAGGAAAACTGAAAAGATGTCTAACACTATGTTTTTTACTAATTCATTCAAAAACAAACACTGAGTTATCTACCACTGCCAGGCAACCCTCCAGCTGCTGAGGATACTGCAGTAAACAAAAGCCAGTAGCGATGACTGTCCCCATGGAGCACCTATGCTTTAAATAAATCACCTAGTGTCTGAGCGATGAGAAAACCAAAGCAGTTAAGGGAGCGATGGGGTGGTGGGAGACGGGGAAGTGATAATATTAACTTTAGTGTCAGGGCCTCAATGCAAAGGAGACTTTAGAGCAAAGCCTTGAGGAAGGCAAGGTATAAGCCATGTTGCTCTCTGGCTATAAGCACCCAGGGCTGAAAGAAGAACAAGTGCAAAGGCCCTCAAAGAGGGATTCTGCTTCTGATTAGATCTAGACTTGATAGAATAATAAAGCAGCTTTCCCCTTCTGTAATCTAGGTTATAATTTTCAACAGGGGGCCCAAGGGAGATGGAGGAAGCTGGTATGAGCTTTCAACCACACCACTGAATCAGTTTTACGCTCTTATGTCCCACAAGCCAAGCATGGCCCATTAAATGTGTTTATAAATAAAGTTTCATTGAAACACAGCCTCATTCATCAGTTTACACCTTTGCTGTGGCTGCTTTCACGCTCCAGTGGCTGAGTTACTGAGCTCCCACAGACATCATATGGCCATAAAGATTAAAGTACGTATTATCTGAGCTTTTACAGAAAAAGATTGCTAATACTTTCTCTACAGAATTTAGAACACCATCAAAATCACTGCCACCTACACCAAAGAGATGCGTGGCTATGAGATAAAGCTCAGCAACCTCTGTGTAAGCAATGGATAGGCATCATTTTGTCTAAGTAATGAGCATCAAACGCTCTCACCACAGCCTAGAGTCTAATTAGAAAAAGGAAAAATGGACATTCTACTTGTGGTCTAATCAACACAGGATTCTTGGCCAATTACACATGTTTCTCGTAAGTTTTAGTAATATAATCATAGAGAAGAGCTTTCAAATTTCTTGGTGATAGAACAAGCTCCTTTGTTCACTTTCCTAGCTGCATCCTGGTCTACTGAGAAAAGACTCTAAAGTCAGAAAACTCAATTATTTTCCCCTAAAATGGAAAAACAAAAATCTCAAAAAAATTACAGCCTCTAACCTTAGGCTGGTTCAGAATAGAAAGGATGAGAGTCAGAGTTCTGATAAAGAGAGACATAACGTTCTAACTGTCCCAGAGGTGACCAGTAATGGTGAAGCTTTCTCAGGTGCCTGGAGCATAAACATACTAACCCTGCCAAGAGCAAGGTGCCATCAGAGATCACACAGGAAACCACAGCTGCTGGGGGCTCTGTAAGACTTTGCTAAATCTTCCAGTGATGCTTAGAGAGGGCTGGGATCTCCCTAATCATTTAAGTTCTACAGAAATGAGAGATCTGAGACTATTCCAGCTCACTGCCTCAATTCCACCAGGGCGTATATTTGAGTAATGACTCATACCTTTGCAATCTGACTATGCATTTACCAATAATATCGATGACTGATGAAAACAGACACATTTGACTATTTTCTCACCCTAGCAGAACCAGAAAGGAGACAAAAATACCTGATACTAAGAAGTACTCTGCTTCAGTTTGGTCTATATCTGGTTTGCTGAAATATTAACTATATCACTGCTAACCACAAAAGACCTCACCATTTTTTTTTTCTTTCTTAAGAAATATTATTCCTTCTCCTATTAGTCAACTAATTCTTCTGGTAAATTTTTTGCTAATAAAATTTATTTTGGGTGAAAACAATGCTTTCTAGAAATGATGCATCTTTTCAAGGGAAGAGTAGGGAAAACCAGCACACCATGAGGACGCACACGGATCAGCTTAAACAGGAGAGGCTTCAGTCCCGCGCAGTCGCTCAGCCATGTCCAACGCCTGGCGACCCCATGAACCGCAGCACACAGGCCTCCCTGTCCATCACCAACTCCCGGAGTTTACCCAAACTCATGTCCATCGAGTCGGTGATGCCATCCAGCCATCTCATCCTCTGTCGTCCCCTTCTCCTCCTGCCCTCAACCTTTCCCAGTATCAGGGTCTTTTCCAATGAGCCAACTCTTCGCATCAGCTGGCCAAAGTATTGGAGTTTCAGCTTCAACATCAGTCCTTCCAATTAACATCTAGGACTGATCTCCTTTAGGATGGACTGGTGGGATCTCCTTGTAGTCCAAGGGACTCTCAAGAGTCTTCTCCAACACCACAGTTCAAAAGCATCAATTCTTCAGTGTTCAGCTTTCCTCACAGTCCAACTCTCACATCTATACCTGACCACTGGAAAAACCATAGCCTTGAGTAGACAGACCTTTGTTGGCAAAGTCATGTCTCTGATTTTTTAATATGCTATCTAGGTTGGTCATAACATTCCTTCCAAGGAGTAAGTGTCTTTTAATTTCATGGCTGCAATCACCATCTGCAGTGATTTTGGAGTCCAAAAAAATAAAGTCTGACACTGTTTCCCCATCTATGTGCCATGAAGTGATGAGACCAGATGCCATGATCTTAGTTTTCTGAATGCTGAGCTTTAGGCCAACTTTTTCACTCTCCTCTTTCGTGTTCATCAAGAGGCTCCTTAGTTCTTCTTCACTTTCTGCCTTAAGGGTGGTGTCATCTGCATATCTGAGATTATTGATATTTCTCCCGGCAATCTTGATTCAGCTTGTGCTTCATCCAGCCCAGCCTTTCTCATGATGTACTCTGCATATAAGTTAAATAAATAGGGTGACAATATACAGCCTTGACGTACTCCTTTTCCTATTTGGAACCAGTCTGTTGTTTCATGTCCAGTTCTAACTGTTGCTTCCTGACCTGCATACAGGTTTCTCAAGAGGCAGGTCAGGTGGTCTGGTATTCCCAGCTCCTTCAGAATTTTCCACAGTTTATTGTGATCCACACAGTCAAAGGCTTTGGCATAGTCAATAAAGCAGAAATAGATACTTTTCTGGAACTCTCTTGCTTTTTTGATGATCCAGCAGATGTTGAGAATTTGATCTCTGGTTCCTCAGCCTTTTCTAAAACCAGGTTTTAGAACCAGCTTTTAAATCTGGAAGTTCACAGTTCACACAGTGCTGAAGCCTGGCTTGCAGAATTTTGAGCATTACTTAACTAGCATGTGAGATGAGTGCAATTGTGCGGTAGTTTGAGCATTCTTTGGCATTGCCTTTCTTTGGGATTGGAATGAAAACTGACCTTTTCCAGTCCTGTGGACACTGATGAGTATTCCAAATTTGCTGGCATATTGAGTGCAGTACTTTCACAGCATCATCTTTCAGGATTTGAAATAGCTCAACTGGAATTCCGTCACCTCCACTAGCTTTGTTCGTAGTGATGCTTTCTAAGGCTCACTTGACTTCAGATTCCAGGATGTCTGGCTCTAGGTGAGTAATCACACCATCGTGATTACCTGGGTCGTGAAGATCTTTTTTGTACAGTTCTTCTGTCTATTTTTGCCACCCCTTCTTAATCCCAAAATAATTTATTCATTCATGAGAAACATTTCCAGTAAATATTTCAAAAGGACACTCAAAATTCAGAAAACAATTCTAATTAAATATAATCCCTTTCCAAAGATTTCTCAGTACTATAAAATGCTTAAGGACAGAAGTTTCTTTGTCAACATCTGAAATGATAAATCTCTTTTAAAAGTGTAATATTCAAGGGACTCTGAATTTTTGTGCAACATTCAAAACTCAAAACAATATATCTATAACAGTGAAGCCTAAAATCTAACAATGACCTACTTTTCCCTAACTACAATAAGCCTTGTATTCCCAAACAGAACACTGCTATAATATGAGTGAAAGCCAAACAGTGTGGGCCGAGTAATACTAACTCAATCTGTGTTGTTTTTCTTTGCTACAAATTGAGACACAGGATAGCGCATTTTGGTACAAAGTTAGAAACTAACATTAAGGATCTAGATGTTTAATCAGGACTTTCAGTTTTAATTTGCTTTCAGAACCTTTTATCCCAGAATTCCATACAGTGTACATGCCCCTCATTTATCTAAAGAAACAGCATTGTAAAAATGCTATCAAAAGTCTCTCAAAACTGTCTCTGTATGCATACGGGTGGGGTGGGGAGGAGCTCCAGCAACCTAGCAGGTTTAGAAATGGATACACTTGAATTTTTTCTTAAATAAGCCACTTAAAGAAAAAAAGAAAGAACACATACCCTTGGGGACAGAGTTTGTCAAGCCATCCGGATTTAACCTTCCTTGTAGATGATCCATAAAAACAGGCATAGGGAGATATTACATTTGAGGAAATAACTGGTGAGTCAGCATTTCCACTTGTTGAACTTAGTGGATAACTGTGCCTATTAACAGGGTCCAAATTCACTGCCTTTTGGTTCCTTGATTTAGATGGCTTTGAATTTTTTCTTCTTAAACTCTGAAAGCATTCTTCTACTGTTGAATACTCTGATTCTGAATCAGAGTCTATAGGAAGATTGCTTTTATCCTCTCGAGGTATCCAAATATCTTCTACTTTGTCTTCACTTATATTTTCCGTCCTGTTATCGTATATGCTAAATGAAAAAAGAATGGTGTTAATACTTCCTAGTACTATATGTGACTTAAGCCATCGGTGACTTTTTCTATTTATAAACAACCAACTACAGAAAGTTAAGGCCAAGAAAATCTGAGTTCTATTAATGCATCTGGATGATTTTTAAAACTCTTTAAGAAAAATAGAACTCTCTCATTATCTTAAGACATATCTGAATATGTATTCATATACTACAAGTAGTGTCTTTTTTCATTTATGTATCATTTAACCTGATCTGTTTATTTTGGGGATTGAGTGTAAGTACTAAGGATGGAGACTGCCATGTTCTCTGCATCACAACTTAAACATCTTCACCAGCACCAGTATGTGGTCAGCCATGTAACAGGCAAGATCGTGAACCACAACATCATGGAAAGATGCACTGGAGATCTTATTTCCACTTGTTGTCCTTTCTTTGCCTCTCCACAAAAGGACTCCGAAGACCCTCTGCTCCATCATCGTATAATAAAACAAAGTGAAATCTTCAGTATTATTTTGCAAGATTAAGGAAAAAAACTAGACGAGGAAAAACTAGACTTAGAAAGTAGCTAATAAAAAATAAGAAAGGTTCAGGATATCAGGAGGTAAAAGCTGTGTAATGTATAATATTTACAGGAATATCACAATTGCTGATTATTTTCCTCTAGATTTAAGGAATGACAAAACAGACATGCTCAGCCATGTATGTATAACAAAACTCAGTACAAAGAAGTTTTTGCTCATCAATGAAGCAGATAGACTGAGGGGTCAAATTACAGCCTTAGGGACGTGGAGTTCTAAAACCCACTTCTTCCTCGCGTGCATGTTTGAGGGCTCAGTCACTTCGATCATGTCCAGCTCTTTGTGACCCTATGGACTGTAGTCTACCAGGTTCCTCTGTCCATGGGAGAATCCATGGGGTTCTCCAGGCAAGAATACTGGAGTGGGCTGCCATGCCCTCCTCCAGGAGATCTTCCCGACCCAGGGATCGAAGCTGCATCTCCTCTGTCTCCTGCCTTGGCAGGTGGATTTCTTAATGCTGAGCCAGCACTGCTTCCTCAAGAAGGATTAACTTGGCTCCTTCCATATTCTGCATTGTAATAGGTTCAAATGCTTAATGAAGATACTCAATTATTTATTCCAATTTAAGGAAACAGTCTCAGCCTTTGAGAATAAACGATAAACTGGAAGACAAATGTCAGGTAACGATGCATTATATCAAGTGCTAATAAAACTGAGAGGAAAAATAAAATTTAAGTTGGTGCCTTACATACTCTGCTTAACCTCATGTTGGTCCAAATAACTGGATAATGATAGAGAAAACTGGATAAAACTGGATAATTTTCAAGCTGTTTATCACTGCTGAGCTTCTACATTACATCTGTAAAAATTCTGTACCTCACATAATGACATTTTTGGCATTGCCCCCCTTTCTTCTTCACATTGAGGTAAGTTCCTGTCTTTAAAGTGCAAACATAGTTACCACATATTTGCCACTTTGAAAAGGGGAGAATGGTTTCAATTATGAAAAGACAAAAATAATGTGCTACAGATTATAGAATCAATTTACAGACTCTAAATTATTAAAATGAGTGCTGTTATCAAAAGAAAGGATTTGAACTTTCCAATATATATTTTCTTAGAAATATAATATGAACAAGATTTGAACAATGAATCATGTATAACATTCTATTCATAAGAATTAGCCATTATCAATCATGCCCTCATACCTTGATTTGACAAAAAATGAGTTTCTTTCAGTAGTTGTTTCCCCTTTGAGTGTTTCTTCCTGGGTCCAAAATTCATTCTTTATAGATCTCTTCTATAAAAAAGAATATATATATATTTTTTCCAGGGTCACAATATTCTACAAAGATCCACAGCATGTGGGTTTAGTTTTATTAAACAAATGTCTAATGTTTAGCTCAATTTTCAACAAAAACAACTTAATTAGCAAGACAAAAGTAAACATAGTCTTTTGATGCCTTTTCAGTATTTTATTTAAATCATTAGTACATATTTTCAACTAAGAACATAATATGCTAAAAACTGATTTACTTTCCCACTTATTTTTTGTCTTCCAACTTAATCTTGACCAAGAAATAAAATACCAAAAGAGCAAAAGTTCTGGAGAAGAAATAGAGGTCAGTCTATATTTGGGTATAAGGAAAAGTAAAATTGAGGGCTTTTGTCAGTCTGCTTTTCTTTTTAATGGGGGTTTTTCTTTCTTTTTTTTTTTTAAGTAGTTTGTGGTAAATTTTGAAAACTCATTGATCTGTATCCCTAAAAACAAACTAAAATGTGTTTTTGTGATATATATTTTAAGATATCAATTTACCATGATTCTACTGAACAGAATTTTACTGACTAGAAATTTTTCTTCCATATAACACATTCTTCAAACAGCTTAAAGGAAAATGAAGAGGCATGTAAAGGCAGAAAAGCAAAGAACTGAATATGGAAAAAATTAAAATGTATGGGACTAACCTTGGAATTTTCTAGTCTCTGGAAAAGAAAGGTCTCTCCATAAGGTAAAATGGAAGATGAATTCTCCTCATTTGTATCTTTTGGGGGAATGACAGAATGAGATGGAAAGATGAGAATAATGTGAATTTTTTTTTTAAACAAAAGCATGTATTTAATTATTTCATAACAGTATCACAATTTCAGCTTTTTTCTGAATCCAAATTATGCTCATAATTCTTATCTCCAAATCAACTCTAACTGTGGTTTTCTTTCTGTATACATCACTCACTTCACAACTAAGACATATCACAAGTGTGATGTGTCATATTCATCCTTGCTAACCTCTAAGATCCACATTAATATAACTAAACACATTTCCCCATACAATGAAAATTGTCACAGTATATTTATAATGCTAATTCCTAAATAATGGCAGAAAATTAATGTTAACTCTACTGTAATTTTCAACAAATGTTCACTGACAGCTAGCTGTTAATAGCATTCAAAATGCCAGAATCCACTTAATATAATCCCTCTAACACCATAACTGCTAGCATACCTGGAATTAAATTATTTCAAGAGAATTTCCACTATCCCTGAATTACACAGATATACAATAAAGAATTCTTAACATTTGCATTTTCTGCTGTTGCAAACTCTTTTAAAGGCTCACTAGCCAGTGCTTGCTAACTTAGCATTGTGAAGAATGCTCCTGAACTTACATAAGCAGAATTTTCAAAAAGAAGAAAGAAAAGCCTCTGTCAGTGAGCGGTTGACCAGAGCTATGAATGTCACCCTTCCCTGTTACCATGGCAAAATTACTTTCCATAAATATACGCCCTGTAGTTCAGACTCAGAAACCACACAACTTAGTTAAATGTCTTCAACTGTGGTCAATGATAAACAAAGGCTGTAGAAAAAAATCTTACATTAACATGTGCAAATTTCCAGGAGTCTGCGTGTATATTACTGTTTTTCATTCATTCACTTTTAAGACAGTCTGGAGTGCTATGAACCCTGGTAGACAGTTATTCCCACTACTCCCTATTCCACAGGTGGGCTGCCTTCTTGATCATGATTTTAACACATGCAAGACTATCAAATGAGTACTAACTAATTTACAGACTTTAAAATAGGAGACTCACTTTGCTGTGTCACAGATTTTCCAGTTGAGGTAGCAACATTTCTTCTCTCACGGAAATAGCTTAAAGCAAAGGGAAAAATAGAGCCATTAAAACACATATGTAAACCAGATGTTACTATCTTGAGTAAAGGATTAATTGTAGGCACATATGTTCTCTTTGGTAGAAAAACCAATATTCAAAAATAAGTTTGATTTTAATAAAATACAATGGCCAGATTCCATAAATGCTCTTTTCTAAATAGCCTTAAAGAAAGTGATTTTAATGGATTTTACAAGTATTTGCTTCTCACTTTTTATAACTCACAAAAGTAAGTGAACATATTTACTCAAGTATTTATGACATTTTTGTCTTAGCTTCACAATACTGAATCAAAAAATCTGTCTAGTTCCAAGAGTATAATTGAAAATATGGGAAAGAGATACTACAGGTAATTAATTAGAATACAATATAACAGCTATGACAGAGGAAAACACTGTGGAAATAGGATAATACCTGCTACTATATGAAAGAGTTCTATTTTCCCAGTTAAATAGAAGAATCAGGACAGCGTCCTCACTTCTCTTAAATATATATATGCTCAAATAACTACAAGAAAAGATATATATATATATGCATATATATATATGCGTGCACACACACACACAGTAATGAAATAGGCTATAGACAAAAATTTAAAAATCACTGTAACCAAAAGCTGGTTCTTTGAAAAGGCCAGTAAAATTGATAAAACTCAGGGAAGGAAAATACGAGTTGACATACAGGGCAGACAAGTTATCAGTATCAGGAGGGAAAGAGAACACATCACTACAAGTTCTACAAACGTAAGAAGGATACTTACAGATTATTAAGAAAAACTTTATCAATAAATTCAATAACTTAGATGACATGAAAAAATTCTTAGAGACACAAATGATCAAATATGACACAAGAATAAAAATTCTTAATATCCCTGGATCTATTAGGAAAACTGAATTTAACAATTAATCACCTACCCACAAAAAGCTCCAGGCCCAAATATTTCACTGGTAAGTTTCATCAAACATTTAAGGAGGGAATAGCACAAAGTCTACATAAACATTTTCAGAAAAGAGAGAAGGAAGAATGACTTTCTAATTCATTCTGTAAGGCCAGTATTACTGATACACAACCAGTCAAAAAAAAAAAAAAACAACAGATAAATGTTAGACAAATATTCCTCATGAACTTAACATGCAAAAAATCATTAACTATTAGCAAATCAAATCCAACAATACATAGAAAGGATAATATATTATGACCAGGTGAAACTTATCCCAAGAAAGCAAAATTGATTTAACAGGGAAAAATGAATATAATTCACCAAATTAAGAAGATAAAGGAGAAAAATCACATTCTCATTGCAATAGATTCAGAAAAACCAACTGCCAAATTCAACATTCATCCATCACTAAAACTCTCAGCAAACTAGGAATTGGAAAGAAGAAAGAAAACTTCCTCAACCTAATAAAGGGCACTTTTTAAAATAATAATAATAATTGTAATCAGTGATTAAAGACTGAACATTTCCCTAAGACTAGAAGTAACATAAGGACATGGGCACTCACTAGTTATGTTCACATTAATTAATACTACACATTATATGAATAAATATCAGAATCATCATGCTGAGTGAAAGAAGGCTAGCAATTCAAAACCCTCCCTTTGCCTAAAATGGGTAAATGACTTCAAAAGGCACCACATAAAAGAAGACAGAAACTGGCCAGTTGCCAATAAATGCATTAAAAGATCCTCAATTTCACTGATCACCAGAAAAATACAAACTAAAATCACAATGAAGTATCACTACCCACCTACCTATACAGCTAAAATTTTTTAAATAACAAAATGCTGTGGAGGGTATGAGACAAAAGGAATACACATACACTGCTGGTGTTAAAGTAAGTGAGCATTATAACCACTCAATGGTGAAAACCACTTTGTATTACCTTCCAAAATGGAACATAAGTAATATCCTACAACAGCAACTCTACTCTTAGGTATATATTCAATAGACATGCATGTCGGATGTGCCCCAAGAAAAACCACCCAAGTATATGTCAACATGCAAAAGTTAAAAGAAGTTGTGGAAGAATCACACAAAAGAACAACATTCAACAGCCACAACAACAAACTGACATACAACCATGTGGATACATCTCAAAAACATCAGGTTGAATAAAAGATATCACACACAACGTTACTTGCTGTATGACGTCATTTGTATGAAACCCTAGAACAGAAAAAACTAATTTACAGTGAAATCAGTGGTTGCCCAATGCAGGTGATAGAATAATTTACTACCTATGTACACAGGTGTCTTTTGAGGAGTGACAGAAATGGTCTCTATTCTTATTGTGGTAGTGCTCACATAGGTATTCATACTTGTCAAACTTCATCAACATATATATTTAGCATCAGTCTATTTTATGATGTAAGTTAGTTATAAACTTACATATATAAGTAAATTGTTTATATGTAAAATATTAGACTATATTGAGCATATGAAATATAATAGAAGAATGGATATCATAGGATAGCCATACAATGAATTATTATGTAGCAATGAAAATAGTCTGCAACTGTATGTATCAACATAGAGAAGTTTCAAAGTGAAGCAAAATGAGCTTAGTAAGAAGAGTTACTATATGATTGCATTTTTAAGTCCACAAGACAGTCAAAACTGTAGCATATTCTTTGGAATATACTTAAGAGGTACAACATTTTTTAAAGCATGAGTGTAATAACCATTATTTAAAGTCAGGATAGAAGCTGTCTGTGACAGGAGAGGGCGTGTATCAAAGTGTTCCAAAACAATTCATCCTTTATTTGTTCATTGTCTCCACATTCTTGACACTGTGATAAGGCTATAATCATTTCCTCAAATTTGTATGTCACTGACACAAATATATATTAATAATTTGAGCCCCTAAGTAGAGCAGCAGTCAAATTTTCTACATCTTTGATAACCTCTGGTAATAATAAACACTGCTAATTCTTTTTTTTTTTTAAACACTGCTAATTCTTATTGAGCACTTACTATTTATCAGACACAGGTCCCAAAGTTTTATAAATACACACACACACTCACAATGTGTATGTGTGTGCATTTAGTCACAAACGCCCAGAGAAGCAAGAGCTACCTTTATCTGCACTTTTTAAGAAGAAAATTGGCAAACAAATCAGTTATTTTCCAAAAGTCACACAGCTCTTAAGTAGCTAACCTGGGATTCAAACTCAGGCAGCGTACCTCTGTAAGACCTATTCAAAACCATCATGCTTAATAAAAAACTTAACTTTAACTTACTGGGGGAAAAAAAATGCAAATTAATTTTAAAAAAGATTTTGAACTCTTTTAAGTACATCCATTAGTTGTATTTTAAAGCATATTTTGTTGGCTTAATTTTTGTAAAGAAAAAAGTATGCAATGATTTGTATTGATTTTGCAATTCAATATCCACCTGCAAGCAATTACCAAATCTATCAACCAAGTTCATTTGATCTACTGAAGATGAAAATTAGCTCAACACAGAAAACAAGCTGTTTTAAAAACTGGTGAGTATCCATTTATATTCTCATTTATCTATAAATAAATTATCTCAAGCTATTTTATATTCTAATATGTATTATGCTCAAAGCATTTTGTTAGGGGTTTATGTATCTACATCTCATATTTCATCTCCTTAATAGACTGATGAGGTAGAACTTGGTGTCCTAATCCTACCAATAAGGAAAGGAGATTCTCTGGCCCAAGTGGCATAGCCAATAGAAGACAAAAACCAGCATTCAAGGTGAATTCCATCCTGAGTGCAAAGCCCATGCTCTTTCCTTTCTGCTCTATTATTCTTGCATCGATTTTCCTAGAAACTGCAGATTTCTATTAAATTTGAAATATAAAACATGGGTGATTTGCAAAAATTAAAAACCCATTAAGAAAAGCAGTTGTTATCATCCTGTTTTGTTCTTATGCTTTGGTGATCTTGGTCAAGTTATTCAACAGGCCTGAGTCCAATTTCCTCATTTACTAAAGGGGAATAAAAACAAGGTCTGCTGCCTAGGAATATCATAAGGGCTAATGAGATGATGCTTTTAAAGAGCATAAGGTGTGCCTTATACAACACAAACACTCAGCTAGAATGAGACAATTGTTTTATTAATTAGAGAAAAGAATGGTTGGTCTTCCTCTGATAATATGCACAATTGTTTCTTAAAGTCCTTAAAAGTATGAACACTCTTCGTTTGAAAGAGTAAAATAAGTATCACCAACGTAGTAGCAGAATAAATTCTATTTTTTTTTCATTTAGTAAAATACTATACAGCAGATGCTGCATAAAATACATGCATGGATGTGAACAACCTTTAAAATAACATTATGTGAACCAAGTTTCAAAAAATAACAAAGTGAATCTTCAACTACCTATAGATGTTATTTGTTCTCATATTTTTAAATCACTAAAATTGCCATGAAAAGCAGTGGCATAAATGCTAATTAATGTTAAAGATCTCTCTTTAATAATCTACACTTATCCATTACATGGGCATGACAACCATGCCAAAAAAAAATCAATTACACACCCCAAATGGACCATATCATTATATAGAATGTTTGTTTTAAAAAAATACAATTCTTACAATTCGTAACAGACTAACTACAACAGACTAACTACAGGTCATTATATAATTGAATTCAAAAGAAAAACACTGGAGTCATTAGCAGCAGGGGAAAGCTGTTTTGAGGTTACATAATGTCTAACTAAATCACACAAATCTGAATTCAGCGAACATGAGGGCACATTAACTACAGCTCAGATGAAGAATATGAAATGTATAATGAACAAATAATTGAGTCTCAATTTACAAAATTCCAAAAAAAGTCCTTAGGATAAGAATAAAAAATCACAGAAGAATTACAACATAAAAGCCTACATCATTACTGTAAAACTTTTTTCATCAACTAGCAGAAGCTATAGTTCAAAAAATTTTTTTCAAACAAAGCAGGGCTTTCAAAATGATGAATAAAGAATACAAATGTAACGCCTCTTCACTTGTAGAAAGTATCACACAGAGAGATACCTTTATACTCTAATAGTAACTCAAGCAATCAACTATTAATTTTGACTCATTATCTAGAAAAACAGTACTGATGAATCTACTTGCAGGGCAGCAATAGAGATGCAGACAGAACAGACTTGGGGACAGCGGGGGAAGGAGAATGTGGATGAATAGATAGTAGTACTGAAACATACATTACCATACGTAAAACAGATAGCCAGTGGGAATTTGCTGTACGGCTCAGGGAGCTCAACCTGAAGCTCTGGGACAATCTAGAGGGGTGGGGTGGCGTGGGAGGGAGGTTCAAGAGGAAGGGAACATACGTATACCTATGGCTGATTCATGTTGCTGTTTGACAGAAACCATACATTGTAAAGTGATTGTCCTCTGATTAAAAAGAGGTTTTAAAAAGTTTGATTCACTGATATTGATAGACATTCAAGTCAAAATTTTGCAAATACTGAAATAATCAACTCATTTTCATAGAATTTGTAAAAAGCCATTTTAAAGGAAAAAAATCTGAATTTTATAATGCTAAGCACTTTTTTTGCTATTTACATGAAATATAAAGGTTTTCTTGAACATGAGGATGGGATGAATTTCAGTATTTTTCTAATTCAATGTAGCAAACAGTTGTGTATTTGTATGTTTTTGTTCATATACGTTTCACCATTAAAGTCTAAAACAGCAGATCCATTTTTAATGTCTATATCATCATGTCTATGTACATCCAGAGAAAAATATCTACGATTTTTACTTTTAATAAAAAGTTCACAGAAGGCTGGTGACTTCTGAAAAATGCCCTTAAAGAGTTAACACAGGTCCTCAGTCTTAGGTTACAAAGGATGTACTCCAACCACAGTGCAGCCCTGCATACCCCCCTCCTCGCTTGTTTACTGTTCCTTCCCCAAAACACTCAAAGGCATGACACCTAGAAGACAGGGCTCTGTGACTTGTGCCAAGGATAAAACAGCCGCATGAAATATGTATGAAAATCATTAAACTAGGGAGGAGGATAAGAAAGGTACCTCCTTCGTAGCAAAAGATACCTGAATCCTTCCTGCTTTGAGTACGAAGGAGGATCCTCCTGGAAGGATCACGAAGACTCACAAGACACCTATGACTCACAGGAAGGGCAGCTGGTGGGACTTGCATTCTCCTTAAAGACCTCTCTCAGTCTCCTTACACAGGGCTCCTCTATGGGAGAGCCTACTGGTGAGCTGATAAGGAAGGAACTGGCTCTTCAAGGCTAGCTCTGACCTAGCCCCCAAGAGACAGGGCTTGCAAAGAAATCCTGAGGTCAGTGTCCAGCACAGCCCCACCCAACCCAGCCTTCCCAAGAGGATCAGACAGGAATTCAAGGGAGGAGCCCAAGGCAAGGACAAAGAGAACCCATCGATTGCATCAGATAACTTGGCAAGGGGTAGAGGTTGGGGGTACATGTCCAGGGAGATAGAAAGCAAGCACCTCACATCAGGAACACATAGCCAGAATCGTGTTCAACAATTATACAAAATCTTTAGTGAGTAAAGAAATTAGGATAAAAAGGCTAACCACAAAGAAATATATTCTATGGTACATCAAGGAATATACTAAATATCATTTAGATGTTATTTGACTACAGAGAATCTTGGGTTATATAATCTACAGTTTCATTTATAACACTGTAGAATCTTGCAATTACTATTTGCAATTCAGGCAAGGACCACAAAGAAAAACACTGACGTCTGAAAATAATTTATTTTCTCATTTTATAATTTGATCACCAGAAATGCATAGATACCATTTACTGTCATAATCAGCTCCTACTAAGCTACTCACTAATTGTACCATTATTTCAATTCTCATTTTCAAAGACTCAAGAATCACAATGTGAATTAACTAGCCTTTCGCATGAAACAAAGCTTACATTTAGAACTAAATGAACATCAAAAGATTCTCAAAAATGTATAAAAATAACACAACTTAAGTAAAACCTGAGCCCAATGTTTCTTATCTGAAGTTATCCTTATGGCTCCCAAAAGGATTCCATTCCTGCAAAGACACAGCAGACCCCTCACATTTAAGTGCTGAAAATTAGCAAAATATGTTAAAGCTACAATGGTATACAAAAACTGGTGACTTTCTACATTCCTAAGAAATACTCCATTTCTTATATATGCCATCAACATTTTTAAGAACATTTACTAAATGAGTGGTTAAAAAAGTGTGCTATAGAATCAAATGAACTGGAATGAAATCCCAGTTCACGGCCAATGTAATCCTAGAAAAGTTAACCTAAGGCTTGGTTACCTCATAAGAAAATGAGTGAATAATACCTATTTCAAGGGCCAGTGTGAGAATTAGTTTATAATTTTATGGAAAATTATAAACCAAAACAGATTCCAGGTGTTCAATAAATGACAGTGCCAACTGATCTCCCAGTAAGTACTCAATACTGCCACGGGCAGCAAGGATGCCAAGATAAAGACAAACTAACTAGGGCCTCTGCCCTCAAGGAGTTTACACTCTCCTGGAAGACACTTAACATGGTCTGGTAAACTGCCATGTTCTCTCTTGTGTATACTAAATTTCCGTATTTTCTCTTGTCAATGCAACTAAGATCCAGCGCCGGGGACAGAGTGGCTACAGGGGGATACAAGCAGGGGAAAGAGAATCTTGCAGAAATACACAGCCTACACCCTGCACAGGAACCTGTCACTGCATTTGGTGCCACAGCAGTAAGGGTTGAACTTAACCTCATGATTCCTAGCAGAGACAAGTGTTAGATTTTAGTGAATAGGGAAAAAAAAAAAAAATCTCACCACAGCCCTGGAGGAAACCACATCTTAGGTGTAATTTTGAGAAACGGTTGAAAGCAGTCTCGGCAATAAGTCAGCTCCTCTCTGACTCCACAGTTACCCCAGGGTACCAAAGACCCAACAAGTCGTTAGGACCCCTCTTTAGAGTTCCAGTCTCCAGCTCACTTGGTCTCACACTGTAATGCTACTACTGTTTACAAGTCTTCTGCGCTACACTTCAAGCCCCTTTATCCCTCTCTACTTCCTCCGCTCATAATACTGTCACCAGTATCAAGTAGGTGCTCACTAGATGCATGTTGAATGATTCACTGGTGCCAGTCATTGTGTTAGGCAGTAGAGACTCAATCAGAGAAACATGGTCCTCCCCCAAAAAGCACATAACCTAGTGTCTCCTAGGGGAGACAGAGTCAGCAATTCAAATATAAGTGTACTCATGGAAGAATGTCATACTAGATATGGTGGAAGGTTCCACATACTAGATATGGGATGGAATATCCAGGTAGAATTAGTGGAAGGGAATTACGCCAATTAAATGGGAGAAAGTTAGAGAGTCCCAGGCAGATACAAGTTGGAAACAGACTCTGGGTAGTGGTATACAGGAGAAATGACATGATGAAAAGTTTTAAAAGAAAGAAAAGGTTGGTTGAACAGGTAAACTAAAATGTCAAATTTAAAAAGGAACACGGAAAAGAAGATTGTTAGAACTAGCTACATTCCCCCAAACTGAATACACACAGCCTATCATAAAAATTCCTACCTCCCTGAAATTCCCTTTGTTGATCCTGGAATCTCTGGTACCGGCCGATGTCTTAGCAGAAAAGATCGAGATGGTCTTGAAACCAACTTGCTACGACTTCTCATAGGTGTTAGGACTGGTGATGATGGCACGTACAGATCATTTACAACCATTTCTCCTTGAAACTGAAAGAATGGTGATGGTGGCGAGCTTTCTAATGAAACGCTAGTTCCATTTCCAGAATTTGCTTCTGATACTGAAGAGTCATGGGAGGAAAGGAATTCAAGGTCTGCATTAGGAAGCTTGCCTACATTTTCTGAAATCAGATCAACTCTTTCTGTTTGTTCTTCAGTTATACAGCCCACAGTCTTCTCTGTTATCAAAGATTCTACTTTGGTAATTTCACTACTAAGTAAAGAATCTTGAAAAGAACCTGAATTCGAGTGTGGTTCGTCTTCTGGAATGGGAAAGTTGTGTGTAGGAAGAGTCAGCTTATCATCTGATTTAAGAGACTGGCTATTTTCCACACAAACCTCATGTTCTCCAACATTTTTTGTAACAGTCTGCAACTGTCTTGGGCTAGATATCTGAACACTGTGTGAATCTGAAAATTCTAAGCAGGTATTCTGAGCAGAAGATGGAGCCTGGTGATCCTCTGAAGTCTCATCATTCTTCTTTGTTTTGTGAATATTTGCATATATTGGGATATCTTGCATTTTTGACAGGATTATCTGTAACTGTTTAAGTATCCTCCTCCGGTGTCCTGTAGGTGATATTCCAATTTTGAGGAGCACGCTGTCATTTATGTCTGCACAGTCCCTCACATTATTAAAACCAAATTCACGGAAGTTGAAGAGGTACTGCTCCAAATTAATGCTCATTAGGAAATCTTTGATATCAACATTCACTTCACTGACTGAGGACATAATGGTGGCTTCATCACTAGGCAGTTTGAAGAAGCAGTACAATGCAACACACTCACAGGAGGGTGCACTTCTGTAGTGGGTTTCCTCTGACTTATCTCAAAAATGCTGTTCTCTCCACAGTGAATGCTTCATGTGCTTAAGCCTAGGAGAAATGAAAAGATATTTATTAGGACACTTTTGGCATTAAAACTAGTTTTACACTATAAATGTTCTCTGAAGCACAACAGAAATAAAGATCACTACTTGTACTGGCTAAGTTTGGAAACTTTGCATGCCCTAGAAACTCACTTCCTAGGTAGAGTGTGAAGGGATGGGACAGAAATGCTATAGTAGTATCAAATGATGATTTTCAAAATGATAAAAAAAAATTTTTTAATGTACATTAAACATGTGTCCAAAAATTTTATTCACTAATTAATGAGGGAACCAGTAAGGTGGTAGGGCTAATTCCAAGATCATTTGTTGAACAGGTTTATTTAGTCCATCAGAAAATGTTTTTGTGTTTTTAGTTCTAGAATAAGATGGGTAGGTTATATATATTAAAAAAAAAAAAACAGTAATCTACAGGGCAATAAAACCATAACCTTTGGGGGTATCTTTCCACTGGACAAAACTCTATAAGCCAACAGGTAACTTCCCAGTTCAGGGTTCTAATCAAATAGTAAATAGCAGGTAGAATACAAGAATTAGAATATCCCTGGGGTGTGCCTGTTAAACAATACCCTCAACAAGGCATCCCAGGAACATGCTATACATTCTTTTGAGTTCCAAATTTAAAAAAATTTGTCTTAACAGTACCTGATAGATATGAGCAACTCCGTCCTTTACTACACTTTCTTCAAAGACTCACTCCAAAAGCATAGTTAGAACGTATTTCTCAGGTCAATGATTTTCGCTTCAAAAATGCAGCAGCATTATATATGCACAATATTATGTAAGACAAGACTAGATGAACAACTTTACATTAGATAACAGGAAGTAAGTTAATATGAAAGGAAAAGGAAAAAGTTTAAAGGTCACATTTTCCTTTATACACAGCAGATTCACATAAGTCCACTTTTCTCACAAACATTGTTCAATTCTTTAAAAAGTTGATTTTTCCAGCTGTTGTTTATATGGCTGCGATGAGTTTGTAAAAGTGTATGGTATGTGCAGATTTCTATACATTATGCATCAGGAAAAAAGAAAAAAAGTGCAGAATATGCGTGACGACCATTGTTGTTCAGTCCCCAAGTCATGTTTGATTCTTTGTGACCCCGTGGACTGTAGGGGTTTTCCCAGGCGAGAATACTGGAGCCGCCTCGGCCCATGGGGTCTCCCCTACTGGAGTGGGTTGCCTTTCCTTCTCCAGGGGGTCTTCCCAACCCAGGGGTCAAGCCCGTATCTCCTGCTTGGCAGGGATATTCTTTACCACTGATTCACCTGGGAAGTCAGCATAATGACTATACACTGAAGTAACAAAATGAGACACAGTGGAGTCAGGTATATTCATTGGAGCAAGCAGAGATGCAGTGTTTCTGGAAAAAACTGCATCTCAAAGTAGCTCTTCGGAAGACACAACTCAAGCATCTCCATGTGATATATGCCAACTGCCCGTAAGATGTCGCCTCAACTATCCTAAAACTTTAGCCAACACTGACAAGTGAGTACACCAAAAATAAAAGGGAAAACATATACTATTTAGGCAGCACCTCAGAAACAAAGGAATAAATGTCACAAACAAGAGAGGAAAGACCATATACAGCTATGGCTGATTCATGCTGATGTCTGACAGAAACTAACACAATTCTATACAGCAATTATCCTTCAACTAAAAAAAAAAGATTTAATTAAATAAAAAAAAAGAGAGATGAAAGACAGGAAATGCCTGTGACCAACAGGTATCCCTCTGTCACACTCAAAATAACAAAACGTCAGGGAAAAAAGCAGGAAGTTAAACCTCAACACCATATATGAACCTAATTCTCCGATACATTATTCCTGTTCACATAATTATTTTTTAATCCCATTATTTAGTTTTGTTTGCCCATTACAAAATGGAAATAACTATTACCAAAGTGGCAGCAACTTTCGATACTGGGCTCTAGAACTGTGAGAAAACATGAAGTAATACATTTTCCCACCTTCCTCACCGCAGTTCAGGCCCTCCTGTATTACATCTCCTGCCTAAATCACTGCAGTCATCTCAAGAAACCCCTCAGCCCATGTACCACTAAACCACTGGAAGTCCAAATCTGGCCTGTCATTCCACACCCTGAACAGGACAGGCTAAGCTTCTTGGGGTGCCACATCACCCCAAGTCTGGTCTCAGCTCTGAAAATAAAAAACAATAGTAGCTACTATTGATGTAAGTGGCAACGATGCTCCAGATACTGTACCTCAGATGTATTTCTACTGCTCGGGAGACGTTTCCACTACTAACTTCAGGCTCAAGTTTACCCTGCGCCACGTCACTGACTTTAGCTCATCATTATTAATTATCACTTCCCCCAAGCCACAAACTGTTATATAGCCCCACACCTTTCACATACGCTGTAAGAGCTGGCAGATCTACACACTTGGCCAAATCCTCTACACCGCTTACAGTTTTGAACAGGCAGATATTACTCCCTCTCGGAAAGCTTCCTATCAACCTCTTGAAACAGATTGAATCACTCCTTTCTCCATCTCCTATGCTAGGATTCTAGAGATCTGCAAAGCACTTGAAACATGTTTAAGAGCTGGGAGACAGACCAGCAGCAATGGTGGGAGTGGTTCAGAAGCCCATTTTGTTATTTTTTAATGTGTGTGCATGTGTGAGCCTTTACGTTTTAATATACCAGCCTCTTCTGTCTCTTACACATAAAGTTCCCGAGTGGCTGACTCAAGCATGGGTATACCAAATGTTCGAACCGATACCACCTCACTCTGCTATCATGGGCATGCTGAATAAGGTTAATGAAGTAGATTCCCTCCTGTGACGTGGAAGAGACTCTCTCCCACAGGCCCCACCTCTCTGCACGTTCATGTAGGCTCCATCCTCCAATCACTGGGCTTTTTAACTGTCTGACTATCCAAGGGTGTTCACAGACCCACTTCGTCAGAGGCTTCAGGCCCCCAAACACATCATCAGCTGCAAAGAGATGGGCACCCCTAACTACAAAAGTCTCCCAGGCAAACTCCTTAACACAACATCAAGCCCTCCATGTTTTGACGTCCACTTGGGCACCAGACACAAATGCCATGTTCTAGGTTCATGGCTCTCCCGGTCTCAGTGAGTGGATCTGCTGTACCACATGACTGTATATAGGCCCAAGAATTGACATTAGTGACACATGCCAAAGATGACTGAGATGCACAAAAAAATTTGGTTCGGTTTTAAATTCCTCACACCTGAGCTGAAGTCCATCATTGCCCCCACCCCAGGAGATGGATGTCCTTCCTAAGACAGTGCCCAGGAGTCTGCAGTCATATTCAATTTCCACCCTCCTCCACTTTCATAGGCACATATCTGTGTGTCTGTTTCCTTCCCCATGAAATAAACATGTTCAAAGGTACCTCAGTGCTAGTGAAGATTACATGAGACAATCCACTCCAAGTGCTAAAATAGTGCTTAATCCCCAGCAAGTGCTTAGCACATATTCACTTCCATCATTATAATTACCTATTTTCATCACTAAGTCATTAACTTCCCACAGTTGAAATCTTTCCCATTCTTTGAAATGTAACTCAAATGCTATTTCCTTCACAAGGTCTCTACTGAGCAAGAAATAAAACTCTCTTCACTGCATGACTATAGCATTTACTTCTCAGTATTTAATCACATTCTGTTGACTCCATGTTAACCTGTAGAAACAGGATAGTGCAGTGTGATAGCCAGGATTTGGGAGCTCGGTACCCTTGGTCAAATTCCAGTATTTAACCTCTCTGTGCCACAGTTTTCTCATCAGGAAAGGAGCAGTAAGAATACCTACTTTATAAGGCTTTTTGTAAAGCATCAAGAATACCAATGGCACACAGCAAATGTTAAATAAGTATCTGTCATCATAATTATGTTTATTATCCCACAATAAACTAATAAACCTGCCAATATGATGACTAGCCAGTATAAGCTGCCCAATAAATGCCAAATTATTTGTTTGTAAACATAGTACATGATGTATATATACAGTACACATTTAGAGAATACATAAGTAGTTGGCATGACAGATGTGAATGTACATTTGCCCATGCTATCCTGACCCGCTTCCAAGAGAAAATAAAAGGAAAACAGAAGTAACATTTAGGAGTACCTTCTATGTGCCCAGCTTTTAGTATCACTTAACAACCATAATCTTATCTCCCTGGGCTCTACCTTGGAGGCACTATGAATACCAACTGCTTCTCATCATGGCTCCTGCTCACATTCTAGCCCAAGCCACTATCTTGTCTTTCTTAGACCACTGCAACAGCCTTCCGACTGATATCCCAGAATCTATCCTGGCCTCCTGCCTTCATAAGCAGCATATTCTCAACACAAGAGCCAGAATGACTCATTTCGTAACAAAAGTCACATCACATCAGCCTTTGCAACTGCCTAACTTCATCTTCCCTGGCTTTGCCCGAAGCCCCCATCACTCAATCGCCACCAAGCTGGCTTCAGTCCTGTTTCCACCACATGACTCCTGCTTCTCACTCATCTATCTCTTTCAAATCTACTTCCCGACATACTGCCATGGCTCATGGCTCACTCCATCACTGAGTAGGTCTATGCTCAAATGTGTGCTCATTAGAGTGGACTTCCCTAGTGCCCTTATGGATACAGCATGCCCTGTGCCTCAGCACTCCTTACTCTTGCTTTCTCTGTCTTCATGGCATTTGTTACTACGTGACATCTGTAGACTTCTACCAGAGGATAGGAATCTTGTCTATGGTTCAGTGCTGAAGGTCTTAACTTCGAACACCATCAGGCACATAAAAGGTGTTCAACAAATGTTTGCTGAAAGACTCCCTCTCAACTTTGAGATGATTTAAGGTAAGAA